ATGATGATGATGATGATGATGATGATGATGATGATGATGATGATGATGATGATGATGATGATGATGATGATGATGATGATGATGATGATGATGATGATGATGATGATGATGATGATGATGATGATGATGATGATGATGATGATGATGATGATGATGATGATGATGATGATGATGATGATGATGATGATGATGATGATGATGATGATGATGATGATGATGATGATGATGATGATGATGATGATGATGATGATGATGATGATGATGATGATGATGATGATGATGATGATGATGATGATGATGATGATGATGATGATGATGATGATGATGATGATGATGATGATGATGATGATGATGATGATGATGATGATGATGATGATGATGATGATGATGATGATGATGATGATGATGATGATGATGATGATGATGATGATGATGATGATGATGATGATGATGATGATGATGATGATGATGATGATGATGATGATGATGATGATGATGATGATGATGATGATGATGATGATGATGATGATGATGATGATGATGATGATGATGATGATGATGATGATGATGATGATGATGATGATGATGATGATGATGATGATGATGATGATGATGATGATGATGATGATGATGATGATGATGATGATGATGATGATGATGATGATGATGATGATGATGATGATGATGATGATGATGATGATGATGATGATGATGATGATGATGATGATGATGATGATGATGATGATGATGATGATGATGATGATGATGATGATGATGATGATGATGATGATGATGATGATGATGATGATGATGATGATGATGATGATGATGATGATGATGATGATGATGATGATGATGATGATGATGATGATGATGATGATGATGATGATGATGATGATGATGATGATGATGATGATGATGATGATGATGATGATGATGATGATGATGATGATGATGATGATGATGATGATGATGATGATGATGATGATGATGATGATGATGATGATGATGATGATGATGATGATGATGATGATGATGATGATGATGATGATGATGATGATGATGATGATGATGATGATGATGATGATGATGATGATGATGATGATGATGATGATGATGATGATGATGATGATGATGATGATGATGATGATGATGATGATGATGATGATGATGATGATGATGATGATGATGATGATGATGATGATGATGATGATGATGATGATGATGATGATGATGATGATGATGATGATGATGATGATGATGATGATGATGATGATGATGATGATGATGATGATGATGATGATGATGATGATGATGATGATGATGATGATGATGATGATGATGATGATGATGATGATGATGATGATGATGATGATGATGATGATGATGATGATGATGATGATGATGATGATGATGATGATGATGATGATGATGATGATGATGATGATGATGATGATGATGATGATGATGATGATGATGATGATGATGATGATGATGATGATGATGATGATGATGATGATGATGATGATGATGATGATGATGATGATGATGATGATGATGATGATGATGATGATGATGATGATGATGATGATGATGATGATGATGATGATGATGATGATGATGATGATGATGATGATGATGATGATGATGATGATGATGATGATGATGATGATGATGATGATGATGATGATGATGATGATGATGATGATGATGATGATGATGATGATGATGATGATGATGATGATGATGATGATGATGATGATGATGATGATGATGATGATGATGATGATGATGATGATGATGATGATGATGATGATGATGATGATGATGATGATGATGATGATGATGATGATGATGATGATGATGATGATGATGATGATGATGATGATGATGATGATGATGATGATGATGATGATGATGATGATGATGATGATGATGATGATGATGATGATGATGATGATGATGATGATGATGATGATGATGATGATGATGATGATGATGATGATGATGATGATGATGATGATGATGATGATGATGATGATGATGATGATGATGATGATGATGATGATGATGATGATGATGATGATGATGATGATGATGATGATGATGATGATGATGATGATGATGATGATGATGATGATGATGATGATGATGATGATGATGATGATGATGATGATGATGATGATGATGATGATGATGATGATGATGATGATGATGATGATGATGATGATGATGATGATGATGATGATGATGATGATGATGATGATGATGATGATGATGATGATGATGATGATGATGATGATGATGATGATGATGATGATGATGATGATGATGATGATGATGATGATGATGATGATGATGATGATGATGATGATGATGATGATGATGATGATGATGATGATGATGATGATGATGATGATGATGATGATGATGATGATGATGATGATGATGATGATGATGATGATGATGATGATGATGATGATGATGATGATGATGATGATGATGATGATGATGATGATGATGATGATGATGATGATGATGATGATGATGATGATGATGATGATGATGATGATGATGATGATGATGATGATGATGATGATGATGATGATGATGATGATGATGATGATGATGATGATGATGATGATGATGATGATGATGATGATGATGATGATGATGATGATGATGATGATGATGATGATGATGATGATGATGATGATGATGATGATGATGATGATGATGATGATGATGATGATGATGATGATGATGATGATGATGATGATGATGATGATGATGATGATGATGATGATGATGATGATGATGATGATGATGATGATGATGATGATGATGATGATGATGATGATGATGATGATGATGATGATGATGATGATGATGATGATGATGATGATGATGATGATGATGATGATGATGATGATGATGATGATGATGATGATGATGATGATGATGATGATGATGATGATGATGATGATGATGATGATGATGATGATGATGATGATGATGATGATGATGATGATGATGATGATGATGATGATGATGATGATGATGATGATGATGATGATGATGATGATGATGATGATGATGATGATGATGATGATGATGATGATGATGATGATGATGATGATGATGATGATGATGATGATGATGATGATGATGATGATGATGATGATGATGATGATGATGATGATGATGATGATGATGATGATGATGATGATGATGATGATGATGATGATGATGATGATGATGATGATGATGATGATGATGATGATGATGATGATGATGATGATGATGATGATGATGATGATGATGATGATGATGATGATGATGATGATGATGATGATGATGATGATGATGATGATGATGATGATGATGATGATGATGATGATGATGATGATGATGATGATGATGATGATGATGATGATGATGATGATGATGATGATGATGATGATGATGATGATGATGATGATGATGATGATGATGATGATGATGATGATGATGATGATGATGATGATGATGATGATGATGATGATGATGATGATGATGATGATGATGATGATGATGATGATGATGATGATGATGATGATGATGATGATGATGATGATGATGATGATGATGATGATGATGATGATGATGATGATGATGATGATGATGATGATGATGATGATGATGATGATGATGATGATGATGATGATGATGATGATGATGATGATGATGATGATGATGATGATGATGATGATGATGATGATGATGATGATGATGATGATGATGATGATGATGATGATGATGATGATGATGATGATGATGATGATGATGATGATGATGATGATGATGATGATGATGATGATGATGATGATGATGATGATGATGATGATGATGATGATGATGATGATGATGATGATGATGATGATGATGATGATGATGATGATGATGATGATGATGATGATGATGATGATGATGATGATGATGATGATGATGAAACGGAACCTTACTGTTCCCAATTAACAATATTACTCTTTTGCTTATTTCTTTTATTTCTATTTTATATTAACAACCTTTAGTCTTCTTCATAAAAACACAGCACGATTTACTCAATGGAGAAAAATTTAGTGGTATATTTATGCATACGTAATGTGAACTCCATCAGTAACCTGGTTTGTAACAAAACAAGTATTGTGCTGTGTTTTTTCGTCGTTAGCAGCCAACTTCATGAGCTAAACAACATGTATGCTAAGACACATATACGAAAGAAGACTGTTAAATAAAATAAGTCGAAATTTGGACAAACTGAGTCATTCGAAATTAGTTTTCACTCTGATCAAAGCAGCGATGTCTTCTGACAATAGCATACGAAAATGACAATTGTTGTGGTATAGCGCCTAATTGTCAAATGAATTGTGTATATACGCGGTGGGCCATTTCAATCTATGCATTTAATTTCGCCAGAGGTGCCACCTATTAAAAAATGACCTTAACAAAAGAATGATGTCTGTGTTTCTTACAGTCGGAAACAATCACTTTCCCATGTTATTAAACGACATTTTGTGTCCACCGTTTTGAATTTTCATAGCATAACTTTATGTGATCGTAATGGGTGACTTTATTAACATCAATTACATGAATTTTATTGATTTAAATAATCAAAAAACGAGGTGCAACGATGATATCATGTGTTAATAAAAATTGTCGATTTCGCGCCAAGAAGTTTTTCTTTTCAGTATTACAAAAAAAGTTTTTTCAAATTTTGCGCTTTCGGTATGGTTTTCTGTAGATTTTGGCATGCTCAAAACGATCCAGTTGTCCGATTTGCCCCATCATTCCATAGTTTTGAGATATTCAACATGCAAAAGGGCAAAAAACACGCTTTTTGGTACTTTTAGGTTAAAATTGCTCAAAATCCTGACGTGATAGAGCAATTTGGCGAACGGATTTGGATTCAGCGCGAAAAAATACTTAGAATATGACTATTGGACTGCAAAGGAAAAAACCTTGCAGGCCTGTGATAATTCTCCATTTCTCCTTTAAAATGACTTTCAGCATCATTATTAATATCGACAGCTTCATTGTCACCATCATGATTATTGTCAACATTGTCGTCATCAGAATCCTTATCAGAACCATCCAAAGGGTTGAAATTGTAAAAATCGAACTCATCGCCTTCAGAATCCATGTTTTCATAGTCAGACATATCTGAATTACTAGTAGATATATGCGAAAAGTCCGTACTATCTATTAATAAGTCTTGATTGTTACATTGATCAGTTTGTACGTCATTACTGCTTTGATTATTTTCTTCTGCATTAGAATCTGCATCTCCAAGAGAATCGCTTTCAGTTTGTTCCACAATCTGCGATTTATGATCAGATTCTGATTGTGCCTACGAAAATAAAATCACAAAATTTAATCTGTGAGATTTCAGCCTCAGTAAAACGAATTCATCTAGAAAGGATCATTACATGGTATCAGAAGTTATAAATTTAGAGCATGATGTAATGATTTTACGTACTTCAAGTAAAACTGTAATAATAATTATTAGTAGGACATTTTTATGAAGTCAAAGTTGGTACGTAAGTTATTCTTAGATATTCGTTAAAGTTTAAATGGATGATACTAATTTTAAAAACACAGTGTCAATATGTAAGCTATTTAAACACATGTTTGTGAACAATAGAATAAGTTTATTGAGAAAGACATTCTCAATCTTATTGAATAAAATCAAATAGGTTCAGACTAACATAACAACAGCAACAGGAGTATACTGATTGTTGAGAAATCATTGATTTGTCTGATATCTCTTTACAAATCGTCGTTGTAGTTTCCTTTGTTACAAAAACATATTTTTTTGATTGAAACATTCCTCCTGCACAAATGTCATTTTCTTGTATACGTAATAAATTTCCAGTAATGAAATACTTTTCTTCTCCTGATGTTTCACCGACAGTTTTTACTAAGTTAGTAATTCTTAATAAATCATTTTGTTTCGTTATAATAGTGCTATTATTTCTTTTTTTCAATCATGTATGATTGTTTGTGTGGAGTAGCATATTTTTGTAAACGAATCTGTGAAATGAAGAACATTTTTCACTATCATGTTCTTCAAAGATTTCCTCAATTTCCAATTTTTGAGTAGCATTTAGTTTAATCACTTTTGGTTTGGAAAAAATTCTTAAGTTTTCTCCATGCTCAATACAGTTTTTAACCCTGCACTAGTTCATTAACTGTATAAATAGATCGAGAATTTTTCTATCACATTCTGGATCAGTGAAAACTTGTGAATTACATTTAATAAATCTTACTCTACAACAGTTCTTTATAATTTGCTGTGAAACGTACTGCGTACCATTAAACAACCTATTAATAACTTATACTTTCGTATTTAGCAGTTCCTCTATTTGTTGTTTGAGAGGGATATACAGAAAATAGTATCCCTCACTTTTTAATTTCTCTTTAATGTATACAGTTGTACATTTTTTACACATTGCAATATCTTTATCTTCGAAACAAATAATAATGTTACAGCTAGAGCAATAAAAATATTATTGAAATTGCACATCAGGAATGCATTGCATAAACTTATAATTTGATTTGTGAACTGCTTCCGGTAATTTTTTATCTGGCAGAGATTTTGATTTTTTTTTTTTTTGAACTACGCATTTTAATAAATGACTACAAACTAAACGAAAAAATAATAGTTTTAATATTTAAATGATGTTTAATATATCAATCGTAGAGCATGTTTCGTGTACTCCTTTTGTGCATCCTAATTACCCGCCAGCTAACTCGACTATTCACTTTATCAGTTTATGAGCTAACTCGACCATGTGTCTTAATGGCCTGGGATCCAATTCGATCATAGATAAGACTTTCTTTTTCATTTGGAAGCGAACTTGACATTGGTCTTAGATTTATGATGTAATGTAATTATAACACTATTGATCGAACAGCTGTTTAAATTACCGAATATTTTGGAGCACACATTATTTGATATTCATTTTTTGAGAATACTGAAAGTTTTAATTTCTCCTTTTTCAATCTATAACAATAATCTCATTTCGTATGTGTGTGTGTATATATATACATATGAAATAATCTATATTTTGATTTAAACAACTCTTTATCAGTAGAACGAATTTTGATTTTTAGTTTAAAAATTTTTAATAAAATTCATAAAAATGGTAGTTTTATAGTTTCTTGAATTATAATACTACTATTACTGTTATTCATGACTAGAAGAATTTCACAAAAACCTTCTAAAAAAAAAGTTAATTTATTTCCAAAATATATTTCTGTAATACATGAATATTTCTGTAAGGAATCTAAAGCTCTGTCAACTATTTCTACTGCTTTTTTGAAATTATTGAGGCTTCATTTTGAATTATCAAATCAACTGCTCTTAATTTTCTTTTTTCGTTTTCGAATTCTAAAATCACGCTGACTACATTACTTACGTCTTACAAAAGTCTGACAGTTTTACGACTTGCCATACTTTTTGGAAGAAATATTGATGCTACACCAGTCCAAGCCATTCACGAAATTTTTGTTAAGATTGACAGATAAAATGGTAAGTTAATATTTTATGAAAATTTTATTTTAGAACATTTTGTTCGCAAATTTTATAAAATGTGTTCTCTCGATCATTATTCAAATTAATATGCAATGAGTCAAATATTTTTTTACTACAAGATATTTTTTCATCACATTATGTGTATCTTAAATTACGTTATGTTCACGTTTTATGAACATATGACCGTATATGCATCTACATCTTTATGTCTCTAGTATATACACATGAACTTTGGCATTTCGAAAC